AAGGGTAGGGGTAGGGTTAGGTTAGGGTTAGGTCAAATAATGTCATATTTGCATTAAAAATGACATAACTGAGCGAATGACACTTAATGACAGATGTGTCTTGGTAGTAAAAAGTTACTTTCAAAGATAGATTTGAAGACTACAGTAAGATTTTACTTCTACTGTTAATAAGATTTTGGTAGGCTGGTATTAGATGGATAGCCTAAATGTCCTCATTCAGATGGGCTACCTGTTTTTTTTTTTAAATGGTATATCAAAAAGTGTATATTTTTTAAATGTGATTGTTGGTACATTTTACCAGTTTTTACCATACTTTCAAAACAAAAATTAAAATAGGAAAAATATGCAATATGAAAATAATTGAAGACAAAATGTGTTTTACTGAGAAAAAACAAGATTTGGTTTTTAAAAAGCCTTTTTCCAAAAGGTACATCTGGAAAAAGGGGTGGTCGTCTTATAATCAGGGTCGTCTTATATTCGGGCCAATACGGTAATTCAGAACACATTTCTCATTAAGAGCTCTTCTGAATAATGCACACACATATTCCTTCTCGTATACATTCATATATACATCAGTTTTTCAGCTTCTGTGTAATGCTCTTCCAGTATGCTTGTAAAATGATTTTACTAGAATGGATTTGTGAAGACTTTATTATTATTAGCATTATTATTCAAGAGCCTTGAAACGTTTTTACAAAGGTTAATACTGAATAATATTTTTGAAGTTACATGATTTAGTATTTAGTATTTTAATATATTTAAAAAATGTAATTTATTTCTGTGGTGGCAAAGCTGAATTTTCAGAAACAATTACTCCAGTCCAGTACTCAAGTTGTGCTGCTTAATGTTTTGTGGAAACCATGATATATAATTTTTCAGGAGTCTTTAATGAATAGAAAGATGAGCTGCATTTATTAAAAAAAAATAAAAAATAATACACAGTATACAGTAAAAACATCCATATCGTGAAGTATTTTTATAATTTATTTCTACTTAAATATATTTTAAAATGTAATTAATAGCTTTGCCATCACAGGCATAAATTACATTATTCAAATAGAAAACAGTTCTTTTAAATTGCAATGATATTTAACAATATGAATGTTTGTACAATATTTTTGATAGTATATCATAAATGCCGCGTTTGAAAGCGAGAGACCTCTTTCAAAACACAATAAAAAACGTAATTATTCCAAACTTTTTAACTAAAACATCTTATTTTTTTGCATTTTGCATTTTATTCGTGCAAGTCATAAAGGTCTTAAAATGTCTTAATTTTGATTTTAAAAATTCTTGCATATAAAATCACCAGTCTCCTGTGATGCTTGTGATTTTATTACAGGTAGAATCTGTGCTTTCGTGATTAGATAACTCATTTACTTTGTGAGTTGCAACAGAAGAGGGATGTTTTGGGCAGAATGTGCATTATTTTGGCGAGTTTAAAACAAAAACACAACGTTTAAACCCTTGTTTCAGTGCAGTGTTTGATTGACAGCTGTGTCGTTGGTCCTTTGAGATGCATTTGTCTGTGACTCCACTGACGTCTCTCTCGTTCCTCCAGACGTGTCTGCGGGAGTCAGACGGCAGTGACGAGGAAGACTCTCTGTCCAGTCACAGCGAGGATCGCTTGAGCGAGGGCAGCTGGGACCGTGTGGAGAGGAAGGACACAGAGGTCAGTCTCTCTGATGCTGCGCAGTACAGCTGATGATGCTTAGAGAGTTTAACCAGCTTGTTTCTGGACACAGGTCACCAGATGGGTGCCGGATCACATGGCCTCTCACTGCTTCAACTGCGACTGTGAGTTCTGGATTGCCAAGAGACGCCATCACTGCAGGTGCGGCCCAGTCTGATTCCTGAGAAACGGGAGCGGATCGGTTAAATATCACTTCATTTTCAGACTTTTCAGGGATTCCCAAATTCCCTCTGAGACTTTAAATAAGGTTAAATGTTAGTTTAGTAAATATACTGAATTCACATCATTATTACAGATCATTCATAAATTGATGGTTGTATATTGGATTTTACTATACGTTTCGTCAGTGGCAATTCAGACATGATTTCAACAAACATCAATTAAAAAAAAAAAACTGAAATATGTGATTGATTTTAATCTTTATTGATAAAATATTTGATTGAATTAGTAGCGTTTGTTTTGTTTGTATATTGGATTTATAGATGAACCCTTTAACCACCTGCACGAAAAAATTCAAAATCAAATCACTAAGCAACCCCTGAATGGAATAACACAATATACTTTGATTAACTCCTAAGCAGTGCTGAGTTATTTGCGGATAATAGAATTTTTTTTTTTCATAATTTATGAAAAATGTTTTTGTGCCAAAAACATCATACGGCTCAGATAGTCATGTCATATGTCATTTGAAAGGTCTCATCGAGTTGAATAAAACAAGTATAATTGTTTGGGGCTTTAGCTAAACTTGAGTGAGGCTTTACTTCAAATTCAAAACAACAGTTTCAAAACTGTAAGGGGCTAAGAGAAGGGCTACCTTGGTTCCAAATGCTGTAACTTTTGATTACTTCATGATATCACCACAAAACTTAATTCACATATAACACACATGTTGGGGAGCATCACCCAAAAAAATAATTTTTCTCCTACCTTATTTATTTCATGAGATATTGAATATCAAATTAGAATATGAAAAATTTCCCTTGACTTTTCTTATATTTTATCACCTATTTCTCAACATGAGAATATTCAAATGCAAAGATTTTTTTCCCCATAAAAATATAGAAAACTTTCTATCAGACGATACCTACCTTTTGACTCTCCTTGCTACGGTCTTGGAGTTATGAGTCATTATTTTTGTGTATGGCACTCAGAAAACAACAGTTTTTAAAATTCCTTCAGGGAGTC